TGGGCAGGGGAGCTCATTGCGCGTCCTGCGAGTTGCCCCAGCGCCACGCAAACGTTGATGAATGCCTCTGAGTCTCCAGGCTGGAGCCCAGCCCCATCTCACGATGTCACCCTGAATGGATGGGACAGCAGCGAGCTTCGGGCATGAGAGGCATAGATGCGGCAGGATGAACACCTTGAGGCTCGAGTCGAGCACAGAGCGACGGTTATTAATACTGTACCGGTAATGGGCGCCATTGTGAATTGTGACCTCCAGCTGTGCATGGGCCGTGTCACTATGGCATCTTTGGCAAAGATTATTTGCAGACCGCGCCGTAGTTACAGTATGATGTGTCTCAATCGCATGCAGCGAGAACGCCTCGATTGCACGAGCCTACAGCAGTGTCAGTGCGACTCAATATCGTCGCGAAGGTCGAAGCAAGGTTCCACAACAGGGATACTGTAGCAAGGAGCGAGCTACGCAAAACAAAACATGTTTTACGTCGTCGCAAACACGGTGAGCGTGTGTCGATATCTGAGGCTGGGTGCCAGTACATGTACAGCGTCTTTATGCAGTGTCCATGTACTTAAAGTAGCATTCACTGTACTTTATGAGCGTCCTCAGCAGCCACCATCGAGGTACAGTGTACAGTACAGTTGACAAGGCCCTTAGCGAGATTGCTCTTCAAAGTTGTTTGCCTTTGCCGCAAGGTAAACAACTTTGAAGAGCAATCTCGCTCATTCAAGATGCACTTCCTGCGACATGTGCTGGTTCGAGCAGCGATTATTGGCATTTTAACTAAGAGGACTCCAGCCGCTTGTGCGTATTAATAGTATTAATAGCACAAGCACTGCTACATGTACACGTCTCCGTCTTCGCACGACACCCTCGCCAGCCATTTACTTTCTTCGCTGCTCAGCCCCATCAATTTTCCGCTCGCCGCCAGCCTGTCTATGGATTGGTCCGAGCGTCGAAAACATGTCTGCGAAAGTCTCACCAGTCCATGGATACTGGGGTTCGAACGCGATGTTTGGATGCGTGTGCAAGTCCCATTCGATGTTTGCAATCAATGCCTAGCACACCCAACCAACCAAAGTATCTTCCTCATTTCCCACCACCAGATTGTCAAGATGCCGTGCTGGAGCTCAGTGCTTCTGTCAACGCTGGCTCTTCACTCATGGGAAGCTTACGTCACGTAGCGACTTGGTGTTTTTCCGTAACAATACCCTAAGATCGCTACAGCTTGCTCCCCTTGCAAATGCATTCCTCCAGTGCCAAGCAACGCGCTTGTCCGATCCGACACAGTCCTAAATTCTATTGCTGCGAGTACTCGGGGACTACCACAGTGGTCTACACCAAGTACAATCGACCGGTTGGCGGAGACTACGAG